ACTGCAATACAATACATCCATCCATACATAAGGGGAAGCCTGAAAGGCGGAAGCAAACAAAAAAACCCGCCAAAGATTGCCACCAGGAGAGCCAATTGTCCCTTTCCCGTCAACTCAATTTATTCACTACCGTGTTATCTCCACCTCTCTGCTTGACTTTCCCCATACATTGAAGTCAACCCAGAACTGATATCTGTGGTCAAGGCCACTGTCTGGACCGGAATTGACCGTGCTGGAAAATATTCACCCCGGGGCAGGCGTCATTCTGATCGCAGGGCGTGTTGCCAAGAGATCCTCACCCTCACAGTTTTGACGCTCTCCACTCCACTTCTCCAACCGCCTTACTTTAACCCGTACTACTACCTACTTTCAATTACTTACAACCTCAACTTATCTACTTAAACACAACCACCCTTGGAATTTGTATCTTCTCTGCCTTGTGCAATCTGGAATACCCTTGTGTTCTGCTTCTATCTCTGTCTCGACATCAATCACTCTCCAAGTTGTTCAGCTGCTAGCAGTTTCGCCGCCTTTGGTCGGTCGTGGTCTCGACCGGCCCTGCCTGCGCGTGTGCCGTGTCGGCTTTCTCCAGAACTAGCAACCATGGCTTCACGCAACAACGAGGAGGCGATCCGGGAGGTCCTAGAAGATCTTGAGCTTCAACATGTCATTCTGCAAAGCCTGGAAGAAGAATGCCCCGACGCAGAGCAAGACAGACAAGAGATCCTAGATGTCATTGAGGGCCTACAGACGCGACTGGCGGTGCTACGCGGGGAGCCTGTCGGCAGAACAGCCAATTCATCTCCGTCCCCCACGCGGAGCTCTAGTACGTCAAGATCTTATTTTGACAGCGTCCCAGCCTTCCCTCTTGATAATCCTACGTCCTCTTCGCACAGTGTTGAACGTTCTGCCCGCTCTTTCCCCACTTCCCCTTTCAATCGAACCAGTCGCAAACGTCAACTGTCCACATCCTCTATGGAGGATGAAGACGATGACGGGGACGATGACTCGGATGACCTGGAGGCGCCAATCAGGCGAGAGCAGCAGAAACGGGTCCGTCGCCGCCTGAGCCCTGACTCTATTCCCAGTCGTCGCTCGGCGCAGGACGAATCCGATGAGGGGCTGGACGATGGCAATGACGAGCTGCTCAGAATGCTAGGTCTGGACAGCTTCCGTGCAATGCAGGAAGAGAATCGACGAGCAGAGCAGTGGCTCAAGGCGCAAAAGGAACAGGAACGTCGCGACGCAGAATTGGCGCGCCGGCTTGCGCAGGACGACGATATCACGCCGCACTCGGCGTGGGCTCGGAGCCCCTCGCCTCCTACTGTTCCTAGGCCCTCAGTCAGAGCTCCAGCTCATAGCAGGCCTGGGCATAATGGGACCTCTACATTGCTCATTCCAGGCAGCTTTCCTGAGGGACCTCAGCCTTCAAAGCGCCTGCCAGCTGCTGCGCCTCACTATGATGGCTATCGAGAGTCGAAAGTCGTCACGCTACCGGACAGCGATGATAGCGACATCGCCGAAATTGACGGTCAGGATTTCAAACCCAATCTTTTCCGTCCCCCGCCCTCACCAAGAAAGGGCCGCCAGGTATCCAATGACCGCTTCAACATTCATTCTGCAACATGGATCAATGGCAAGATGGTTTCGAGTAGTTCAAATGATTCTCGAAACGCCTACTCTCCTTATCTCAATGGGCTTGCAGCCGGTCCCAGCGCCTTGGGTCCACCTAGTTCTCAATTCGGGCCTAGAGTCCTGCCCAGTACCATGGCACGACTGAACTCCGGCTCTAGTATGCTCGGTGACATGTCAAGCACCGTATCTCAGGCAAGCAGAATCATATTTGGTTCGTCGGACTTCTCGTTTATGGGTCCTGGCGGCTACGATTCAGCTCTGGATTACATGAAGTGAGTACATTCCATTGACTTTGAAGGAGCTTCGCTAATCAAGACCGTGCGCAGTGATCTCTACGGGTATGCAGAGGATCCAAAGCAGACGAAAGAGGACATCATGAAACTCCTAGAGTCTATCAGACCCGACTCTGAAATTTCTAAGGAAAATCGCGAAGGGACCCCTGATGCGCTCAAATTTACACTCTTGGAACATCAGAAACTCGGTCTCGCGTGGATGAAGTCGATGGAGGAAGGGGAAAATAAAGGCGGAATTCTGGCTGACGACATGGGCCTTGGAAAGACCATTCAAGCCATTGCTCTTATGGTGTCACGGCCTTCCACAGACCCTGAGCGCAAGTCCACGCTGGTTATCGCTCCTGTTGCACTGATTCATCAGTGGAAGAGAGAGATACAGAGGATTCTCAGGCCTGGCAAGCATCAGCTTTCGATTCATGTCCTACACGGCGACAAGCGGACTACGACTTTCAAAGATCTGAAGAAGTACGATGTGGTCCTCACTACTTTCGGTACTTTGGCAGCCGAGTTCAAGAAGCTAGAGAAGGCCGAGGAGATCAAGAAACATGACTCAGATCTGGGCATGGGCCTCATGAAGAACTTACCTTGTCTGAGTCCCCTCTCCAAATGGTATCGGGTCATTATCGACGAAGCCCAGTGTATCAAGAACAGGAAAACGAAATCTGCCATGGCGTGCTGCAATCTTCAATCCACGTATCGGTGGTGCATGACCGGTACCCCGATGATGAATTCAGTGGATGAACTGCAGTCGCTTTTAAAGTTTCTGCGGATCGCGCCATATTCCAACCATGAGAAATTCCAACGCGTGAGTGCGACTCGTATTGCTTCTTCTACTGATGATCGAACACTGACTTTGATCTCCAAGACTTTCACAAATCCTCTCAAGGGTAGTCCCGCTGGCCGCGAGAAGACAATGCAGGCACTTCAGGTTCTACTCAAAGCAGTTCTTTTACGGCGCACCAAGACTTCCAAGATTGACGGTAAACCCATCCTCCAGCTACCGCCTAAGGTGTCTGAGAGGGTGCATGCTGTCTTCAGCGAGGAAGAGGATGAGTTCTACAAAGCCCTCGAAACCCGCACTCAACTTCAGGTCAACCGATACATTGAAGAGGGCACCATGGGGCGCAATTACTCCAGCATCCTTGTGTTGCTCCTCCGACTTCGACAGGCGTGTTGTCATCCGCATTTGATCAAAGATTTCAGCATTGAAACTCCTGTGACATCAGATGACTTGGACCTTGTCGCAAATGCTAAAGCTCTTAGCGATGAGGTTGTTACTCGCTTGAAGAACAATGACGACCTCGAATGCCCAATCTGTATTGATGCTGTTGAGAATCCGGTAATTTTCTTTCCGTGCGGTCATGGAACTTGTGCCGAATGTTTCTCAAGAATCTCAGACCCTGCAGTTGCAGTCAGAAACGGAGTCGATGGCGCCAATGAGATCAAATGCCCCAACTGCCGCGGTAAAGTTGATCCCAAGAAGATTACTGATCACATTTCGTTCAAGAAGGTGCACTGTCCTGATTCCACTGAAGGAGATGAGGAGGTTCCTCAGCCAACAGATGGGGCGGCGAGTGGGGATGACAGTGATGATGATAGTGATGATGATAGTGATGACGATAGCCTGTCTCGGTTCATCGCTGATGACGATGAGGACTACGGTGGATCCAGGACACGCAAATCGAAGGGCAAAAGGCCACAGAAGACCAAGAAGACCCTTGCCCAGCTCCGCAAAGACGCCCAAAAGAACCAGAAGGCTAAGCGCAAGTATCTGCGCCGTCTCGAAAAGACCTGGATCCCGAGCGCCAAGATCGAGAAGACGATGGAAATCCTCCGAGGCATCAGCAGCAATGACAGCAGCGAAAAGACCATCATTTTCAGTCAGTTCACATCTCTGCTTGACCTGCTCGAGATCCCCATTGCGCGTGAGGGCTGGGACTATCGACGCTACGATGGCAGTATGAAACCGGCGGAAAGAAATGCATCTGTCATAGAATTCACCGACAATCCCGACTGCAAGGTCATGCTGGTATCCCTCAAAGCTGGTAACTCCGGTTTGAACCTTGTCGCCGCCTCGCAAGTGATCATCTTCGATCCTTTCTGGAATCCTTACGTGGAGGAGCAGGCTGTCGACCGTGCTCATCGTATTGGACAAACACGCCCGGTGCAGATCCATCGCATCGTGGTGAAGGGCACGGTTGAGGACCGAATCCTTGAGCTTCAAGATCAGAAGCGGGAGCTTGTTGAGGGAGCTTTGGATGAGAAGGCCTCGAAGAATGTTTCCAGATTGGATACCCGACAATTGCGCCATCTATTCGTAAGTTCGCCACCGTCTATTCCAAGAGCGCGCTCATACTAACGGACTTTGTTTAGAATATTCATTAATGTGGTCGACACTGTCATATATTTCAGTCATGATTGCAGGCATTGACGTTTTTCCGGCGCAATCAGTACCTTAACGATACCCTGGGCTTCTCGTGTTTCTCTTTCTGTTTTCCAATTTGGCGCTGCGCTCTCCTGACGACGTGATTCATATACACGGGTTGGAAAGTCTGCACCTAGATCGCTCTGCATCAAGGTTGGTGATTTAGTTGGATGAAGGCCATACAATACATGCAGGAACTTAGGTTAGGGCAATAGGCAAATGGATGTTGCTTTCTTGCGCCTCTTTCGACCTCGGTGTTTGAGGGGAGATTAGACTGTATCACAATCTCCTAGATCTTGGTATGTTTTTGCGTTTGGCTGACTAGCAGCACTAGCAGCACTACCATACCATGCATGCTCTAGCCAAGACATGCTCGATGAGTCTTGTCAATTCAATCCACCCCCAGACCGAGGTAGTATTTCACTCTACCAGAAATAAATTACCTGGCGCCATCCAATCACTTAATCCCGAATTTCCCATCTCCCAGAGCAACTCCTCCATCTCCACACCCCAAAGCCCCCAACCCCCCCTCCTTAAGTACTAGGTACACTACACCTGCCACCCCCAGATCAAACTTCGCCCCCGTCGCGCCCCAAGCACGAACTAATGTGATAGCCACAACCCGGCCCAACAATTTTTAACGCAAAGGCAAGGTGGCCGAGTGGTCTAAGGCGCTAGTTTTAGGAATTCCCTTCTTGAGGAGGTGGAAAACCACTAGTTCGAAAGAGCATGGGTTCGAATCCCATCCTTGTCATTTTGTTTAGTTTTTACCTCCCTAGGTAAGGGAGGGTCAATAGTCGGTTGGGGCAGTGTATGTATGCGATGTGGTTATGTTCAGCAGATGTAGATGGATAGTGAGTGTCTAGTCGTGCAGTTTCCGGGTTACTGTCCTGAGGCGCTATGCTATGTTTTGGGATTGGGGGATGTGGTCAACGTGACGTTCCGACAAAACGATCATGGGCAGGAGGCCGAGGGGGAGGCGTTGATTTGCCAATGGCCCGCCCGCTGTTGGCTGCTGGCTGCTTTGCTTCCTCGGTTGGATAAATGGATGATGGCTGGCTGGCTGGCTGGCTGAGGGGTAAAAGGTAAAAAAGGTAATCACTCATCTTAGCCCAGCGAAGGTTAACCTCCTCCCGTCGTTGGGTCTCAATTCTCAACCCAACTGCTCAGATCTCCCAGCCTCTGGTTGTCGGTGACGTCACCGTCACTCTTTTCGTTTTATGGTCTCCTCTTGTTCCCGACATGGTCTACGCTGGGTGATACCGGTAGGTCGGGTGGATTGCGTGCGTTCGTCCGTGGATGATTCGGGTGTCTGTGATGGGTTGTGGTGTTGATGTAGGAATTAATTGTTGGTCCGAGAGCGTCGGAAGATATATCTGCAAAATAACTCCGAGTACACACACCTTGCATGTGGATAAGATCTATACCTGTGAATGCCCTCATTTACGACCCATCAGTTCTAAAGACGAGTGTTTATTTATTTGTTTGTTTGTTGTTTGCTACTCGAAGATAACCCCTAAAAGCTCAAGAAGAAAAATCCTGTCATACTTTTGTACCTATTATGTGCGACTTCGCGTATTTAAAAAGCTTTTGGTTTGGCTCTCTCGCTGCTGCAGGTCCGTCATCCGTGGCAAAGAGGTTAAACTTGAACTGTGTGTTGAAAGAGATAATAAGGAGTCTAGACTACTAGTGGTAAATATTGCAAATGCATAATCATGCTCCGACCCTGTCTTCCTCGCGGCCCAATTTTGCTCCGCCTCCTGACTGCTGATCGATCGTGGCATTCGTGATTCCCAGATTTCGCAAACGGTACCGCACCGCACCCCGGGCAGTGCCCGGGGAGTGAGCACGACAGCCATGAGAATAAATCTACCGGGGAGGGCCCCGGAGCCTCATCATGGACCGCACGCTTACAAGTCGGCGTCATCCTCATCGGGAAGGGGCATGGCAGAGGCCGCCTCCATCTCGTCCTGGTACTGCTTCATGAGATCGGGGTTGACAGAGACCTCGGGGGGAGCCAGGGCGGGAGCGGCGACGAATTCCTGGTAATCATTAGTACGCACGCCGTTAAGAAGCGTCAACCGGAGTGTGAAGTATAGACTCACCAGCTGGGGGTTGCCGACCAACTTGCGAGCGAGCCAGAGGAAGGGCTTCTCGAAGTTGTAGTTGGACTTGGCGGAGATGTCGTAGTACTGGAGGTTCTTCTTGCGGTGGAAGGTGATGGTCTTGGCCTTGACCTTGCGCTCCTTGACATCGACCTTGTTACCGCAGAGAACGATGGGGATACCCTCGCAGACACGGACGAGATCACCTGGGATAGTGTCAGTCATGGCATTGAGATAAGAAGGCGCTCGGGTTGGTGGGGAGCACTTACGGTGCCAGTTGGGGACGTTCTTGTAGGTGATACGGGAGGTAACATCGAACATGATGATACCGCACTGTCCGTTGATGTAGTAACCGTCGCGGAGACCACCGAACTTCTCCTGACCAGCGGTGTCCCATACGTCGAACTGGATGTGTCCCAGGTTCTGTTCACAAGATGTTAGTCCTAGATACCGAACAAAGACGGCGAGACCCGGTCAAAGCGGGGTTGGCTGGCGGGGCATACGGTGTGGAATTGGAGAGGGTGCACTTCGACACCGAGAGTCGCGATGTACTTCTTCTCGAACTCGCCAGTCAAGTGGCGCTTGACGAAGGTGGTCTAGAGAGGGTTGAAGGTTAGCTATGGGCGTTTCGCACCATCGGGCTGATAGGAAATCAAGTTTTTCTGCCGGGGGTGAAGATGAGGTTGGCGGAACACAGAGATAAACAAGGCACCGTAGCACAACTGCATTATTTCACTGGGACCAAAAGGGAGACCAAGATTCGATATATCACATCACAAGAAAGCAGAAGAAATGCAGGAGGGGTATTAAATGATACTTGCCTTTCCGGTACCACCATCACCAACAAGGACGAGCTTGAAGGTTGGTACTTGCTGGTCAGCCATGGTGAAGGGTATGTGAGAGATTTAGCAAAGTAGAAGCAAAATGAGTGCGAGAATCAAGAAGTCGTCGAGCCGATGCGACAGCTGATAGAGGAGGGAAGTTGGAAAAGACGTTCGAAAGAACGGGAGTGGAGGAGGAACAAGAGTGAGTGGGTGGGATGGTTTCTTCTCCCAGTGATGGATTTTTTGCCGTTGCCGCGAGTCGGTCACCAAAGCCTCCACTCACGTGCCTTCTCGCCGCCTCAGGCCGCCATGCCCCGCCGTTCTTTCGATTTCTACGCCCACCGCCAAAGCCCAATCGATTCTAAAGCATAATCAGATGCAAGCATGGCACACTAGTAGTATACGTAAATCAATTAGATAGACGGTCAGAGGACAGTAACCTGTTCACTACGCACAGCAGTACAAATACTACTAATATAACCATTTAATATTGCTTCTATTCTCAATCTGCGGAACATCAAAGTTTCCATCCAAGTGGATGCAAAGTTTCAGCAGTACATATGCTCCCAACATAGCCGTGCTGTATAGCTTCTGTTGCCAATCCTCGGAACTTTAAAGTTTGTATCCACTGGATGCAAAGTTGCCAAATGCACTTTCCACCTCCCTTCCTAGCTCGCTTCTAACACGAAGCACACATTTCTTCCCTTCGAAGTTCTGTAAATCAAACGCTAAACCCAGGGACTCAATGGACAATATCAAAATAGGGCCTTGTTGAACTCGTCTGGATCGTGCTTTTGATCAGAAGACCATTGCTCGTTGCGGCACCGTCGAGAAGGATTGCATTAGCTTAATCATCATAATCCGTTCTCTCTTCAAGAAGATTGATTGAAACGCCACCGTAGATGCACCTTTGAAATTGCTCAAACACAGAAAGAAAAGTCATGAAGCCATGCCACATGCATCATGCAAGGGGCGAAATAAATCATGCATGGTAATACCGATACTCATGATGAACTCGCTCCTATCATAGAGGAACTAGATGACAACCTAGCAGACCACGGCCACCCCAATCACGGCGAGGAATGAGCGTCAGGCTGAGCTCAAAGTTGTTGGCTGAGTCTGTATCCTTTCTGGTGATGATGACCGCCACCGGGCGCTAATTTCAGTTTAGTCAAAGAAGCAGCGGATACAGAAGACACGGAACGAGAAACGTACCCCCTCGTTTTGCTGGACAACCTGAGCAACTTTCGACAAGCGTTCGTGGTTCAACCAGTTCACATTTCCAAAGTTCCGTACAGTATCGCCAGCCTTGAGACCGGCTTGGTCTGCAGGGCTTCCAGGAACAACACTGTTGACTTTCGCAAAAGGAACCCCGGCGGCTTCGTTCCCTGCAGCATCACTGGCGGCTGCACTGGCCGGTGCAGCTTGCATGTTATTGATATTGCCTCCGGATGGCGCAGTAGCCTGCGCACGCTGCAGGCTCGCGAAATGTTCATGTATCCCCTTCTCGAGAAGCGACATGGCTTCTTTATGATCCGTTCGTAGTCTGATGATGCGCGCTCGGGTGGTACGTACTATCGAAAAGCTTACTTAGCATGAGGACTGTAGACAAGGCGATCGAGACTGACTTTGGGCGACATCTATGTCGTCTCGGGGGTAGCCATCGAACGTCGTCAAAGAGGTATTCATGTGAACGCCGTGCTGCATGATGCATGAGTAGATTAGTGACCGGGGTATAGGCAAGAGGGAGCAGAGGGGGTACGCGATGGTGCTTACAGAGCTGAGCACGCTGCTAAGAGCTGAGAGTTCCGCTTCGATGCGTTCTTTCTCTTGCATGAGATCGACTACACCGAGCTTGGACAGGTCGCGAGCAGGAGCCTCTCCGGACGTAGGTCCGGAGGCGACTGTAGGAGCATGGATATTATTGTTGTTGTCCATGGATATTCCCGTACTATTTTGGAAGGAAAGATGAGTGCTGGATGGATTCTTGCGACACAAGAATTGGAAGTGTCGGGAAGATGACGGTGGTGGGTCTGGCCGCGGCGGGAAAATCTGGGGGAGTCTCCCCTCTCGGTAAGCCAACATCAAAACATCTACTAAACTAGTAGTTAAAATGTCTGCAGTCTGCTACCATGAACAATGCACATTACATTACTTACATGGTTAGACAGTTCTGTAACCAATTGTCTGCCCGTATCATGACTAATAGGAGGCCCTTGAACTTGTGCTGTGAAAAGCCTTTAGTAACCGGTGTGAGAGTTATGCACTAACAGGCATGATAATTAGGGAACACAGATTATGCTGAAGCTTTCGACTAGTATTCTGAAACGGCGCCGTGCAGTGGTGTGCTTAGAGTAATAGCTTTAAGTACTGTCATTGTGTCTCTCTGTCGCTTGGAGGCAAAGGTATTTTCCGACACTTCCCCTCCTTACTCGTCTACGCTGGTCGTGGCTTCCTTCCAATGTGGCTTCAGTCAGAATTGAAATCCAAGCAGCTACCGGTCGACTTATCTCTATACTGAGCTAGAGTGGGCCAGGTCAAACTGCGTTGGTTGCCAGATCTACCGCCATGGAAGAATCCAAGGACATCGCTGAGACGCCGGTGCTTGTGCTGGAGACGTCAGGACACGAAAGAAGACCAAACAATGGCAACGCGGTTCCAGCAGGCTCAGACCCGGTAACAGCCTTCAAACGATGGGTAAACAGTCTGCGATCGCGGAGAGGCTTTCCTCCCGTCGATCCCCAAAGATACGTCGAAGGATGGATGGAAATCCCCCAAGCCGATCCATACACCGGTTCTGAAATGCCGCTTACCCACGAAGCTCAGGAGAAGTGGGAGTCTTGGTCAAATCACTCCTCTCACCTGGAGACAATAAAGACCACAACCATCAGCATTGCCAGTCAAAGTGTTGTGCGGTCGAGAGGGACTACTCAAAGTACCACAAATCAGAGCATCAAATCGGACCTCCGTGAGTCGCTAGAGAGCATAAGGCCAGCCTTGAGTTCATCCATCGATGAGGATGCCCAGAACAGAGCTATCAAAAGGCGCCGCGTTTTGCGAGAGCTGATTAGCACCGAGTGTGATTACGTCTTCGGTTTGAAAGCACTTGCTGATGTATACCGTTCACTTCCTACCCACATCTTAACCTGACTCCACACGGTGTTGATCTGACACCTTACAGGCACTTTTCATCTTCTCCGTCAGGCCGGAGATCTACTATAATGTTCAACAGCTTCGAGATATACACGAAGATTTTCTAGCTCAACTTCGGAAGCTGACGCCGATCTCCAACCTTGCTGGAGCCGAGTTCGACAGTTTAGTGCCTCAACCAGCTCACAAGCACTTTAGCGCCTTTGAATCGGGCTTTAGGGCACTTCATTCAAGGTCTCTGAGATCGCGAAGCTTCAAAGCATCGGTAAATTCACGTCTAAGGGCCCTCGCCGCAGAGACGAAAGAGGCTTTAGAGGTTGCGCAAGCCGTAGGAAGATTGGTGAGGTCTCCTCTATTAAATCTTTGGTTCTTTCTCTAATAGCCATATTCCTTAGTCAAGGAACTTCATGATTTACAAGCTGTTCTGCAGTAGCTATGGTCTGCTTACCTTTGATGTTGAGTTGCTTCGTTCATCTGTTCCGAATTGGCGGATCTTCGATTTGGGTATTGAGGCACTATCGAAATCAGTGGCTTCCATCGATAGACAGGCGCACGAGGAGCACAGGTCTATGATATTGGATGATCTTCTCATCAAGGTAGGAATTGTTCGCTCGAGTGATTCACAAGCACTGACGACTCTATAGCCAGTACAACGCCTGTGCAAGTACCCCCTGCTACTAGAGGAGTTACTCCGCTGGACACATATCCAAGATGACCCATCCGCCCATGATGGCATCCGACAGATCCTGGAAACTGTTCGACGGGTCGTGCAAGAAGTCAATCAAATCAACAACAACCCCATAAACAAAGACCTGGTCTTTAAGACGAGAGAATTACAGAACATGCTGGACTTTTTAGAGGGTGTATGTCTCCATGAGTCCTTTTCATGTCCAAAAGATCACTAAGGAGGTCTTTGTAAAATAGAACAAGACCCTTGATCTATACAAGCAGCTTGGACCGCTGATACTTTGCGGTGTCTTGCATGTTACCTATTCTTCCCCTACAGAATCTGCCGCCGCCGGCTTCATGGTCTGTGTTCTGTTTAGCAGCCACATTCTTTTTGCGAGCATGAACGACGACAATCGAAGGCTTCAAGCGCTGATGTGTCTTCACATCCCGGATCTCAAAATCGACACCTTGCATAATGGCGAAGGTGACTGGACTTTTCACCACACCCTCTTCCTAGACTAATGAGTCGGTAGGCATCTGCTGTGAGTGTGTGTTCTCCTGGAAGCTGGTATTCCATAACTCTGGTAAGAGATATGAGCTGGTGCTCAGCGCATCGTCTGCAAGCGAGGAGAAGAAATGGACAACAGAGACACTCAAGTGTGCGGCAACGTCCACCAAAGTACAAAGAGATATTATAGAGAGGTCACGACGGTACGCATTTGTTTCCTTAGACTTGATCCCACTTGATAGCACGGTGCTTCCTTTGTCGCGTCGACCATCCATGCAAACATTAGGCGCACCACGACCTCCAGCGGAATACCCTGTTGTAGTTATCAAGAGGACACATTGCCCGTACCTCCTAGAGGAACATAACCCAGCGGATGGCGATACAGAGCGTTCTCAGGAGCTTCCAGACGAATTCGTGACGACGGTCGTTGCTAGAAGACAAGACCGAATCCGTTTGGAACGCGTGATCTCGGCGGTCTATACACGGAATGCGCTTCCATATCCTGGAATGACTCTAGCAATGGGAGACCTTCTTTTCCGACCAGGCTCGATTATGAGAAGAAACCTTAATCGAAAACAGATATTGAGGAGACGTGCGAGCTTCGTGAACGTCAAGGCCACAAGAGCGGCGGCTGCTTCGGCCAAGAGGGAAATTCGTCCGTTGGACAGCGATTACAGGAGACTGGAAAAGGGCGACGGGGGCGTTGGGCTCGAGAAGCCGAAATCAAACGCACCGGCACTTGATGACCAAAGGAGTCCTTGTGTCCCACGCGATGGTAAGGAAACAGTCAAACGTGTCAAGACGTTCAAAATGACGGGCACGCCCAATTCAACACCTAGCCCCGAGACTCCTTTGACCAAAAAGAAGGATACAGGCCAGGAGCCCCCTGAGAACTCAGCTACGAAGCCATCCACAATCCGTAGGATGTTGAATTCCATGTCAACGAGGAAACCGAAAAGGAATGGACGCATGAGGGTGGGGAGTGGAGCTTCATGATGACAATGATGCAACTGATTTCCAGGGGTCACCAAGCACGGAGGGACAAGCATGGGCATGCATATCGCGGACAAACTTTTCCAAAGATTGTGCTGGGCGTACTCAGTATTCTTGCAGTTTCCTAAGGGTTCGAGGACGTGGGGAAAGTCAACGCAGGTGTTTGATGGAGTACTTGGCGACAGGTGGGGATAGTAATTAGCAGCATTAGTGAACCAAAACGACCTAAATTGCTGGAATTGAAGTGCGGCACGAAAATAGTGACGACGATGATGATGATGCTATTTAGTGATTAGGGAATCTAATCACCTAATGAGCTGGTAGTGATTCTCCACCGAAGTTACAAGAAGGGAAAATACTGGTACTGTTGAGCGGATCAGTCGACGTAGCATGGACAAGACCGATGACGTCGGTGTTCACTTCAGCTCACGATGGCATGTTTTGACCACGCTGGTTGTATTATTTAAGGGTGGTTGTTTTCAACTTGAGGCCATACAGTCTTTCAATTAACTCACAAGCATCGAGTATCTCAAGACCCAAACAATTGAGCTCTTCATCAACACGATATCCCACCTTTCTCGCGACTCCGTATTTGCCTGATTGACCGACACCTTGACAGTCTGTTTCGGGTAACATCTTAGTGACGTCATCAACCAGCCCCTCCTCCATACTCCATCCGACTACTACTTCAACTACTTTATCTCACTTCTCCCCACCCCGCCTTCTCTTATTCTCCTCCAGTATCGACAGTCAAATCTGCCTACTACGAGGAAGTCTCAGTGCCAACTATCTTCTCCAAAGTACTCAATTGATTTACCATCAACCCTTCCAATCCATCAAAATGCCTCGCGCCGTTGAGCAAACTTCGAAGATGTTCTACAAGGGATCATCTGATGACTTCGTCATCTTTGTCGACGACAACGACGTCGTGAACAAGTGGCGCAACGACCGCTCCATCCCCCTGGCCGACGTGGTCAACGGCTTCAAGATCTTTGTCACCCACAAGTAAGCTTTCCCCGTCCAACTTGCACTTGCTCCCCTTCAGTCCACTGTACTAACGGAGTTTTCAACTCAGGCACGGTGCCCAGGGTATCCTAGACAACGCCAGCAAGTCAAGCCTCCAGAACGAGTTCGGCACCGACAACGAGGACGACTGCTTGATCAAGATTTTGGAGAATGGTGAATTCCAGAGCTCTCAGGTAGGTGGCCCACCAATGCTCTTGCAACATCCTGTAAAGTATGTTTTGGTGAAGCATTGACTGACTTAATTTGTGATTCCTCCAGTCCCGTGAGCGTCAGGATGACACCAACTTCGCCAACGGCCCTGCTCTTCGATAGATGCTAGATGCTAATGAGCTGATGCTACTGCTGGCTGGCTGGCTGGCTGGCTAGCTTTTTTTGTCCTGTTCTGCTGCTCAAGTGTTCAGGATTTCTCTTTTTGTTTTTTTTTTATTTCTCTTGATGAGCCCATGTGTTTCTAGCGGATGAGATATGTTATTAAACTACCAGTTTGGGGTTTGAAACGTGTATGGTCAAGGTTTACTATGAATGTGGTGGAAATAGGTGGACTAATTTAGTGTCTACTTTTGATAAATGAATACAAATACCCATATCAGATCTGCACTTTCGTCTTTGTAGACTTCTTGATTTAGGAATTGAATTTTTATATGGTTAGATCAATCTATATATCTAGTGGTCATCAACCCTGACTGTGGTAATCCTCATCAACACTACGATCTTGCTGCTGCTGCTGCTGCTGCTGCTGCTGCTCCCTCTCCCGCCGGCGATGCTTGACCCACTCCCCCAGCTCATTCCACACAGCCTGTTTCTCCGCCACGGACATCCCAGCCGCCAACCCACTCGTCGTCGTAGCCACAAAAACCCTCGCCCCGGGCCAATTTCCCCCTTTCGCTGAGAAAGACGACGACGGGGACGGGCCTGAGCTGTCACCAACACCACCACCCTCATCGCCAGAAACCACCGCCCCCATATTCATCCTCTCATCCTGCCACCCGTACCGAAACTCCTCCTTCCGGATATTGCGCCCCATCTTCACCCGCCATACCGCCTCCCAGATACTCTTCCCGACCAGGCACACCACGGCGGGCCGCTGCGCCGCCACTTTCGCCTCGAGCACCGGCACCCCCGCGTCCATCTCCGCCCGGCTGAGCATGCTGGCGTCCCGCGTCGGCCGCTCCACGATGTTCGTGTTCCCGATGTTGTACAAGCCGGGCAGCGCGTACGTGTCCGAGGGCGGGTGCCGGATCGCCGTGATCCCTGACCAGTGCAGTAGCTTCCAGAAGAGGTTGGAAGGGTGCGCGTACGCGTGGCCCGTCACGCCGGTTAGAATGCCCGGATTGACGCCCACGAGGAGGAGGTCGAGGTTGGGTGGGATCGTGTCGCGGAGGAGGCTTGGCGTTGTCGGGGGTGTTGGGGGTTTGGGGGTGCGGGTGCGGGTGCGGCGGGTGCTGCTTTTGGGGGTACTGGATTGGGGTTGAGGGGTTGGGGTTGGTGATTGTGATTGTGATGGTGATTGTGAAGATGGGGTCGGCGCTGAGGATGGGGTGGAGCGTGAGCGGGTGAAGGAGCGAGTGATTCGTGTTGTGGTTGCGGTTGCGGTTGTCGTTGTCGAGGGGAGGGCTCGACGTAGCATGGTGGTGGTTGTGCGTTGGCGCTTGGAGGAAGAAGGTGAGGAGGGGCTCGACTCGTCTGGTCTATTCTCTAGATATGGCTGCTGCGTTGGTGGGGTGAGTTTACGTTTTGAGCGAGTCGTTGCGGTGTCTTGCGAAGCATTGTTGGTGGTGGTGGTGGGTTTGAGGGTAGGAGGCTCGGTGGCGATGTTCTTTGCTGTGTGGAAGTATTGGTTCAACCTCCCGTTGAAGCTGGTCTTCTTGTTCACGGGGACATCCTCGCTCTCTTCAATAATGCCAATGTCTTCTTCCAAAGGCTTCGTGAGGAGCAAAGCTGACATTGTGTTGCTGCGAGGGAGGCTAAGCTGGATGAGAGTCTGTTCTTCGGGAGTCAGTAGAAAGGACTGGACGGTTTTATGTTTACAAGTGATTAGAGCGATTGGGTTAGTCGCGCCCGCGGACTCTTGTCCCGCCCAATGAGCTCATTTCAATGGCAAAAATATGCAGTGGCGTTGCCTGTCTGCCAGGTCTCAGCGGATGAGATGGAGTTATCCGTGATCCATCGTCCACAGTTGAATAAGTCCAGGAACGACTAATCCTATTGGAGTAATATTGGCTAGTCGGGCACTGCACTAGCCTGTCTGTCATGTGAGTATACCGATGCCTCAAAATCCAGGCACAAAATGATCTTTTTGCAGTCACATCTCACAGCGTGCCAGGGAGGTTAAACTAGGTTGCGATCGGTCGTTTCTTGCATAAATGTATGTCTTGTAGTCTCTAGGATTATGTATGCTAGCTATATCATGGTATTTACAATAAAACCAAGGCAGTTAGTACATTTGCTTCAAAGAGCATAGATCACCACCAAGACTTGAATGCTGATCCCTTCAGCACAAGAGCTGGAAACGATTATTGTTGACTCCTTCCTAAATATTTCTCTTCCCAGACGCCAATAATGATCTAAGGGTATTCGCAGAACTGTCATCGTGAATGTCGTAGTCGTAAGTCTTTCATGAAAGCAGGCAGAATGCATCAATGCCACATTATACTTTGTATTCGCTTCGCTTAGGCAGGGTCCAAGGTTCAGGACATACCACCTGTGCTCATGTTAGCTCAATCACCACACTCGATGCGATCGTGGGCCACATACCTCGCCCTCGCTGTACGCCCAAAAATAAACCCCGATCCCAATGAGGTAGTATATCGCCGGGTCCGTCCCTTGGTAGAGAAGCATAGCGAGGAGAGCGCTAAGGGGGTAAAGGATCAACCGGAACTCGATGCTGCGATGTGGTATCGAGCCCGCAACATATTTCAAAGGCCATTCCCAGGCGATACCAATCAGCCCCATCAGCAGATTGAGGATTTGGAGTATCGGAATAGGCGTGACGGCGCCGTTCAGATTCTTCGTCATGAAGTCCCAAAACACTTTGGGCCAGATGAAACCCTCGATTGCGCTTCCTATTTGGACTGGCCGTGAAGCGTCCGGTGTCAGCGATTGCAATTGAACTTGACTCAAGTGAGGTCAACACTTACAGGCTGCCGCTGTGAGGATGATCAAGCGAGCCCAGTGGTTCTTGATTAGTCTTCCCATGACAGGCGATATGTTGTATACAGGAGTGGAGTATGAGCAGCGTCTTCCGTCCTGCGAAAGAATCTATGCTCGGCGATGGTTGTTCTTGGTGTTTTATCACCAACTTTGCTGGAGTGCTTTTGGCTTGATGGTGGAGGTCAGTCCATCACTGGGTCAACCGAAGGTCCACGGAGTAGGTATAATAGTAATGGTATAGGCCCTTCTTGATTGCATGGTAGATCAAGCGTTCAAATGACAATGACCCGTGCGTCGGGGATGTGAATGTCAAGATAGAAGCAACCTCGTATCACGAAATCACATCACCTCAGAAAGTTCAGCCCCAAGAAGATCAGATCATGCCTCGGAAGGCCGATCCCTCGATAGGACTTTATGAGAGAGTGGGTGAAGGTGGAGGGGACTCGGGAGACAGCGGAATACACTAAGATAGTAATAGCTCCCAGCGGCAAAGGAAGTACAGTACACACACCACCTGACCGGGATCTTTCTTCTTCTTCAACTCGGAACCATCCATAATCCACTGGACTAACGCACTCCCCGTCTCTCACCTATTATTATGACCGGACGTGATAACAGCTTCTGTTTTGGCGACCGCTTCTTCCATCAGACCAATTGAAAATGTCTGTTTACATGGATTCACCGATCCCCCGCCCTGCTTCTTCACAGAAACGCACCTCCCTGTACTTCTCATTGGGCGCGCTTAGTCGGAGGAGCCGTGGCCCATGCCAATGCCTCTGGGTTGACTGGCCCTGAAAAGCCCCGGTTGGGCGCTACCGGACGCAATAATAGCCACTGAGCGGCGAAAGTCTGGCTAGACGGACGTCTCCAGCGAGTCTTGAACGTCGACGAACGTGACGGTGGAGCAATTGATGCAGAGGGCTTCCGGAAACACACTTTAGCGGCCGATGCATCTGTACCAGTACCTTGTTCTTCACTTCTGATTGAACCGTCCCAAGGTTCTTGTGGAGCGCCTTCTTGTGGAGGCCGACGAAAGCGGGGGAGGCAAGTGGCTGGATGTCCTGTTCGCCTTTGCGTTCCCCTTGTAAGGCGCCTAGCCAGGCTACACACAATTCAACCCATCAAATGTCGCTCGGTATGTTGAGTGTACGCGCCCTGTGGTGAAGGCTTCTGGTCTCTAGCATGCTCAAGGATGCGAATGTTCCGATGGTAGCAAAACAGAGAAAGGCTGTTTTTCTGGGCCACTCACCGTCTTTTCCTCGGCAGATTGTCGCTATTCATCGACGAAGGAGTTCGAACAAAGGCTAATGAGGTGGGTTACCCACATGGCCTGAGTCTTTGTGCATTCGTTATCACGGAATCTTTGTGATGAAACTTGTCAACCGTGCAGCGCCAAGCGGCCTTAGAACACCTTCGACCTGACATGCGGATTCCTTCAACGCACCCCCCACCAAGTCATGGCTGATAGCTCTCCTCGGAGGTGCATTCTGGTTTGGTCTAGTATACGGAGCATGTTTGTCTTGGCCAGCAGGAGACCTTATTTTTGGCATCATCTTGAATCTAATCTCCTCTGCTCGCCATTGCATCTACAGCCACAATAGGGTGTTGTGTCTGTTCAATGGCCGCTCGGGCCATGTGTGACGGGAAGCGCGCTTGCATATCGCTTCTCATAGGATGAACGCAGGCTCCGACTCCACCCTCTCAGAAGCCAATCTCCACGAGACATGGAGAGCAGAGTGAGCATTTGGCTGGAAGAACCGAGTTTCGAAGGCAGGAGAGCATCCTGGCGCCACATGGTTCGTCCTGTGGTGGACACCAGGATTTGATGAGATAGACAGGATGGTGACGAAGAGCCACCAAGCCATCCGGCTCCTCGGGCCCTGCTATGACCGCAGTCGCTACACCAATTATCACGGCATGACGATGGGCCCACAGCTGTCATACCTCATGATGGACGGTGTGACAGTCGCTATTTGATGTTCCTGACCGGGGAATACGAGGACAAATATGATCAATCGTTGCGGAAAGTCTTGGACACGGCTCAAAGCTCATGGTCAAGCTCGCACCACGCGATGGCTGAGTAGACGCTCTCGACACAATGAGCCTTTACATGCTCTGGGGGACGTGGTAAACGAAATTACGCTACTCAACCGGTTGATCCGTTTCCTGCAGGCTGCCCTAGCGTCACTTAGGCTGAGGCCCTGAGCAGGGGTTGCGTAAATATAGCAACACGTTCCCTCGTCAAGGCGCCTTTCCCCTCTTCACTTGCAACCAGAACCATATCTCCGGAAACCTGACATTTTTTTCGACAACGTCCACCGCCACACCCCACACCAACGCTTGCAAGAAACTCTCATATGCTGGATTTGATCACGATAACGATGATCGCGTTCGGTCTGGTTCTTGACACCCAATTGGTCCCGAGCACTCGCCCCTGATTGGACTCTCCGCACGCTGAAGACTTCGACACGGCAGTTAAGAAAAAAGGCTCTTATTCTACGCATAGACTATCAGCACCAGGGTCTGAGAGTAGACAAATTCATCGCTGACTTTATTAATGTACTAAAAATACTTAGAATCATCCTTGATCCTCCAGAACTTCAGGAACTCGACCTGGTCACACCCCTTATCGCCCGCAGGGATCAACTAATTGGCTGCTCGTTTACTGCAGCTGAAACTGACGCAAGAGCCCGTTGTATGGGAGTATTCAGACATGCAAATCTCTGTGAGAAGAAGACTTCATAACAGCGTGCGCATGCGTTAAGGCTCATAGGTGTTGTGTTCGTTCATATCTAAGAATCGTCGCTGGTCGATGACTTGTTCAAATCGGCAGACACCTACTCTCTATCTTGCCTACCTTTTCCATAACAACAATGACAACTTCATGGAAGTCACACTTTAGCGGATCCAAGATCTGGTTCTATTTATTATTCTGGGGACTGCAGATTGTTCTTTTTGCAGTCGGTTGGTAAGTCTCTTTCTGTCAATCTACATATCGTCATTTCACTGAGAGACCATAGGTACTTACAAGTGACTAATCACAAACTCGATGCCTTGAACACCCTGAAGTACTCAGTCTGGATCTCGAGAGGCGCAGGCTTGGTTCTGAGCTTTGATGCGGCTGTTCTTCTTCTTCCCATGTGCAGGAACCTGCTTAAGTCTCTAAGGCCGCGACTGCGATGGCTTCCGCTCGATGAGGCAATATGGTTTCATCGCCAAGTTGCTTATTCTCTCCTGATATTTACCATCATCCATACTGCTGCTCACTACGTCAAGTATGTTAAATATGAGGATGAGAGAGTCGCATACGCTAAAAGACAGTAGTTTCTATAATGTCGAGAAGAATCATCTTCGCGCTGTCACAGCAGTCCAAATACATTTCACAGAGGCAGGAGGTATAACCGGCCATGTAATGCTCTTGTGCATGATGTTGATGTACACTACCGCCCACCAACGAATCCGGCAGCAGTCATTCGAAACCTTCTGGTATACGCACCATCTTTTCGTCCCTTTTTATCTTGCTCTTTACACCCACGCTACCGGCTGCTTTGTTCGCGATACCACGGACCCCATCTCACCCTTCGCAGGGAAAAAGTTCTGGAACCACTGCCTGGGATACGAAGGCTGGAGATGGGAATTAGTGGGTGGAGCGCTGTACTTTTGCGAAAGGCTTTATCGAGAAGTCCGGTCAAGGCGGGATACCGTGATCACCAAGGTGATTCGTCATCCCTACGGTTAGCTCAATGTAACCCCCCAAACCAACCCGCAAGCTAACTCTTCGAAGATGCCATGGAGATACAGTTCCGCAAACCAAGCATGAAATACAAGGCTGGCCAGTGGCTCTTCATCCAAGTCCCCGAAGTGTCCAGTAACCAATGGCATCCCTTTACTATCACCTCCTGCCCTTTCGATCCCTATATCAGTGTTCACGTCCGCCAGGTTGGGGACTTCACCCGTGCCCTCGGAGATGCTCTGGGCTGTGGGCCCGCACAGGCCAGAGATCTGGAAGGTCTTGACCCATTGGGAATGTATGAAGTGGCGCTCCAGAACGGCCAAAAGATGCCGAAGTTACGGGTGGATGGACCCTACGGAGCGCCGGCGGAGGATGTTTTCGAAAACGAGATTGCGGTCCTCATCGGCACTGGCATCGGGGTCACCCCATGGGCCTCTATCCTTAAAAGCATCTGGCACTTACGTGCACGGCCCAACCCGCCCCGTCGTCTCCGCCGTGTCGAATTCATCTGGGTCTGCAAGGACACCTCTTCATTCGAATGGTTCCAGGCTCTGCTCTCATCGCTCGAGTCCCAGTCAGCATCCACAGCTGCCTACGAAGGCAGCGTCGAGTTCTTGCGCATTCACACATACCTTACGCAACGCCTCGACGACGACACGGCCGCGAACATCTACCTGAATTCTGTGGGGCAAGACCTCGATCCCCTCACGGAGCTGCGTAGTCGGACGAACTTCGGTCGGCCCGACTTCAAGCGCCTGTTCAGCGCCATGCGAGATGGCCTACAGGATCAGAGCTACATGTCAGGGTTGTACGATAACACACCAACGCAGGTTGGAGTGTACTTCTGCGGCCCTAATGCGGCTGCGAGACAGATCCGCGAAGCGGCATTGTCGACCTCGACAAAGGATATCAAGTTCAAATTCTGGAAGGAACACTTCTAATGTACAGGAGAAGAGTGGATTTGAAGAACGAGGAAGAAGACAGTAGGTATGGGTTTACTTACGACATGATACCATGATGACTGACGACATTTTCTTTTTATCTCTTTTTGCCTTGAATTATTGTTTATTTGTTGATTCATTGGTATGTGCAAGGCACTCTATTGTGTCTATCACTTCAAACGCCTGTACTTGTCTCATGATGCTATGTTCTGTAACATATTGGGGGTTTATATAGGGCTCGGTACGGTAGCTAGAAATACGGCTTAGGCTCGAGTGCAAGGAATCGGTTTTACTGTCAAGACTCTCCCCTCGCTGCAGTAACCCTCCGTCACCCTACTGCACTGTAGTGTACAACCCGAATTGCGACTTTTGCGGACATATAGAGACCAATTTACATAAGCAACCTTCATGCTACTCTCGCCTCCGCCTCCGCCCCGCCTCGCCCGGCTCAACCTCACTATCATCACCATCATCAGGCATCCGGATCACCCCACCACCAAACTTCACCACCCCTCCGCGCCCCTCCACCATCCTCGCCGCCGCGAGATCATCCAGCGCCTGCTCGATATCGACATGGATCCGCAACTCCTTCTCCACCAACACATTATACACATGCCGCAACTCCTCGAGACCCATCCCTTCTTCTTTCCCATTCCGCGGCGCCTCCTTCCCGGGAGGGTGCATCGGGCGGATGATGTCCGCTCGGAGATGCGTGAACGCCAGCATCATCAGCTCCTTCGACCAGGGACACGCGCGCATGCCGCGGTAGAAGACCTCCTTGGCGCGGTGGATCTCGTGCTG